CCGGGTTCAAAAATTTCTCAAGCTTTGATTACAGGCGCATACCACCATGCCCGGCTTATTTCTGTATTTTTAGCAGAGATGGGGTTTCACCATTGTTGGCCCAGCTGGTCTCGAACTCCTGAGCTCTCAAGTCATCTATGTACCTGACTCAGCCTCCCACAGTGCTAGTATTACAACAGGCATGAGCCACCGTCCATGGCCAACTTTAAGCTTCTTAGTTCTATTTTAAAAAGACCTACGACATAGTTATACCTCTCCAATGACAGAGGGAAATTAACTGTTCCTGCTACACACTACCATGATTTACTTAAAAATCAAACATTTAACATATTTGTGCTGGAACTTAGCACAATGCATCCATAGACTCAAACTGATGTTATTATGCAGCAATTGTGGATTAAGGATTTTTATATCACATGAGATAAGAAATACCATGTCATTCCAAAATTGACAAATGTATTTTCTTGACCAGAATACTTTTAAGTATCTGGAGACATGGTAAAATTTATGTTTAGAACCAATGCTGAGAATTGTTTCACGGACATCACAAACATTAAGAGGCACATGCACAGCCAAGGCTGTTTGGAAAAAAATCAAATTAGAATCATTTTCTCTTTTGTTTAGAATATTTTAAGTAGAAAATGTTCAAAAACCATCAAGAATTACCAGTCCAAATAGAGCAACAACAATAACAGCCACAAATGTCCCTATCTTTAATATAAAGCATGAATGTAAGTAGAAAAGAAGGGTGATGGTCCATGTCAGTAATGTAAGTGGAAAGAGGATATTCTCTGCAGCCAACTGATTAGTTGATAGATTTAATTTCAGCAAAATTAAGAATTTTTACTCTGCGAAAGATTCCTTGTTAAAGAGGATGAAAAGACAAGCTATAGACTGGAGAAAAATTATTTGCAAACCTCATATCCAACAACTAACACCTAAAACATAAAAAAACTTTCAAAACTCAGTAACAGGCCAGGTGCAGTGGCTCACACCTGTAATTCCAGCACTTTGGGAGACCAAGGTAGGTGGATCACCTGAGGTCGGAAGTTCCGGGCCAGCCTGGCCAACATGACGAAACCCCGTCTCTACTAAAAATATAAACATTGGGCCAGGCATGGTGGCTCACACCTGTAATCCCAGCCAGCGCTTTGGGAGGCCGAGGCAGGTGGATCACCTGAGGTCGGGAGTTCAAGACCAGCCTGGCTAACATAAAGAAACCCTGTCTCTACTAAAAATACAAAATTAGCTGGGTGTGGTGGCGCATGCCTATAATCCCAGCTACAGGGGAGGCTGAGGCAGGAGAATCGCTTGAACCCGGGAGGTGGAGGTTGCAGTAAGCCAAGATCATGTCACTGCACTCCAGCCTGGGCAACAAAAGTGAAACTCCGTCTCAAAAAAAAGAAAAGAAAAGGAAAGAAAAGAAAATTATAGAAAGGAAAAACAGATTTGTGGTTGCCCAAGGTAAGGAGAGGGTGGAAGCAATAGCAAGAAGCTCTTCTGAGCCGGGCTACAGAAGAACATGAAGGATCACTGTAGTGTTGGAAATGGCCTGTATCTTGACTATATCAATGTCAGTGACATGGCTGTGGTATTGTACTATAGTTTGACAAATGCTAGCATTAGGAGAAATAGGACAAAGGTTGCATGGGAACTCTTACAACTGTTACACAACTTTTATCTCAAAATTAAAAGTTTAATTAAAAAACACGATTGGGATTTCTTAAGAACTTATGACTCTAAGGTGTTATCAATGTTATATATCTTTTGTCTTTATTTGCCATTTGAGTCACCAACTATAAATCTGATTCCTGAAAAATTAAGAGCAAAAACCAGCTTCATAGATGTCTAGACCTTCAAAGATAATCTTGGTGATATGGCCTGGCTCTATGTCCCCATCTAAATTTCACCTTAAATTGTAATAAGCCCCATGAGTCAATGGGCGGGACCAGGTGGAGGTAATTGATCATGGGGGCAGTTTCCCCATGCAGTTCTCATGATAATGAGTGAGTCTCATGAGATCTGACAGGAAGTGTCTGGCATTTCCTTGCTTGTCCTCATTCCCTCTCCTGCCGCCCTGTGAAGAGGTACCGTCTGCCACGATTGTAAGATTAAACCTCTTTTCTTTATAAATTACCTAGTCTCAGGTATTTCTTCACAGCAGTGGGAGGAAGACTAATACACTTGGCTAGGATCAAGAAATACGAGAAATGCCAGTGGAGTAGGAGTGAGGGAATCCAGTCTTCGAAACATGCTACAAACAGTTAAAACAAATTAAAGCACTAATCAGGAGAAATGGGAGAAGAGGAAATAATTCAAACATGTTCAGTATGAATAAACATTCTTTCCACCGGTCTGGCTCTCTCAGGACTGAAATGGTTCCACATCCAATAATTTTGAGGCTGGAATGTTAATAAAAATCCACTTTAAAAGATAGGGGTAAAATAGAAAGGAGAATAAAGCTATCATTCTCTCATCCTTAAGTTTCCAAATTTCTACTAATAATTCATATGAAGCAAGAAGAGAAGAATTTAGATAAACAATGAAGATCATACCAACCACCCTTGTAAAAAATATCCAGAGGCACAGGCCTAACAAGATCGCTAAATTATTAATGAATCCAACATCTACAAGCCTTAGAAAAACTTAAGACTCTCAATAGCTAGGCACAATTGTCAACATGGTACCATGGAATCCAGGTCAATATCCATTCCATATTTTTCAAAATACATGAACCAACCAGAGTGGATTCCAAAGGGCTAAAAGATATTTCTATGTATAATGCCAGGCCCGGTGGTGTGTGCCTGTAGTCCCAGCTACTCAGGAGGCTGAGGCTGGAGGATCTCTTGAGTCCAGCAGTTCTAGGCTGTAGTGTGCTATCCCAACTGGGTGTCTGCACTAAGTTTGGCATTAATATGGTGACCTCCCGGGAGTGGGGACCACCAGGTTGCCTAAGGAGGGATGAACTGGCCCAGGTCGGAAACGGAGCAGGTCAAAACTCCCGTGCTGATCAGTAGTGGGATCGCGACTGAGAACAGACACTGCACTCCAGCCTGGGCAACATAGTGAGACCCCATCTCTTAAAATAAAAAAAAGAATAAATAAAAAAAATAAATAAAAATAAATGCCTACATGTTTCCTTAATTCAGGACACCATAGTCAAAGATAGAAATGAAAGCATATCCATCAAATCAGCAAGCAAAAAAGATGTGTGAATCATTGTATGCTTATCAACAGACAGAACTCTCTGAATAAAGATTTTAAAGCTTATTTCCAGCAATTCTACTGAAAAAGCCTCAGGAGTCGGACCTGGGAGCAAGCTACAGACCCCCATCTTCTTCTTCTGTTACAGCAAATAGCTTGTTAAGAGACCAATCCTCTTCTAGTAACAAACAGAAAAGCTGAGCAGAGCTGAAAGACAGCAAGTGCTAACAGGCAAAGATCCCAGAGATAATGGAAGCAGGAAGAAATGCGCCTGACAGTCTTTGCTTTTCTCCTCAAGCCATTTTCCAAGTTGCATGCAATAAACTAAAAGGTAAATTGGCTGAGCACAACTTTTGGCAAGGACTAAAGGGCAAATGCCGAGCTCAGGCTACAACAGTAGCTACCTAGGGGTTCAGGAGAGCAGGAGGGAACCATGAACCACCAGTCCTCACAAAGACTGAAGGCTAAATTCCTATCAGCTCAACAATTCCTGACAGAATGAAGGTATTTCCTGTATCTTATTTGCCCACAGAAGGACAAGTCAACTCTGGAGAAAAAAATAACACCACAGCCCTCAAAATATCACTACAGTTTTTTTGTACCTGATGACTAACACTCAGTAAAAAATTCCAAGCTATCAGCGGACGGACCAGAGACCAATGGAATGATTCCTTCACAGGAATGAAAAACAAGCACAGCTTACTTTAGACCCAGGAAAAATATCCTTCGAACTGAAGACCCAATTAAGATACTCCAGAAAATAATGACCAGCTTGTCCATTCTTTATTGTGTAACTCTGGGCAAATGTCTGAACTGACTGTGATCTTTACAACAGACATGACGGTAGTCGCCACCCCTGAAGAGTGACCTAAGTGCTAAATGTGATAATATATGCAAAACACAAAAATCACCATTATTATCCTAGGAACATGTCCCTACTACAAGACAACAAAGAGCACATGTCCAAAAACCTGCCTATATAAAAACATTGATCACAGCACTGAAAATTTAAGCGATCTAAATATCCACCATAAGATCCATGCTGCCGTGAACTATGATTGCACCACTGCACTCCAGCCTGGGCAACAGGGCAAGAACCAGTCTCTTAAAAAATTTTTTAAAAAGTAAAAATTAATAAAATATATCCACATTAGTATATCTACACATGGACTGACTGTCATATGGACTTTCAGAGAAAGATATGAATACTTATGCATTTATTTTTTGAGACAGGGTCTTGTTCTGTCACCCAGACTGGAGTGCAGTGGTGCAAACACGGCTCACTGCAGCCTCCATCTCTCAGGCTCATGCAATCCTCCCACCTCAGCCTCTTGAGTAGCTGGGACTACAGGCACAGCTACCGTGCCAGGCTAATTTGTGTACTTTTTCTAGAGACAGGGTTTCACCACATTGGCCAGGCTGGTCTTGAATCACTGAGCTCAAGAGATCTACCCCTTGGCCTGCCCGAGTGTTGGGATGACACACGTCAGCTACCACACCCAGCATCTATATTTATCGATACAAAAACACATTTGTAGCCTAGTACATGGAAAAAAGGCAAGTTACAGGAGCCAGATTATGGAAGATATATGATCCCATTTATGTACGATTGAAGCTACAATTCTCTAGTACGTACCCAGGCACAGAAGCTTCTTACATGGCCTTTGATTCATTTCTTAAACTCTGACACATGCATATTCCACGACTCAAAGATGAGCTAGCTCTGTGCATATAAACCAGTGCTAAATACAGACCTTAAGAAATGTAAAGCTCATAAGTATTGAAAACAGACCAACTGAAGTTCCTAGCAGTCAGTTCAGATACCTTCAGACTTACATCTTTATTCTTGGTGACAACATTGCTAAATAATGACTTGTCGACGACACCATTATTTCTCTTCTGGCTTAAATGAAGACCGAAGAGAGTTCGAACTTCATTTTCATCTGGTTTGTAAGACTGGTCCATCTAAAATACAAATTTTAAAAGTTAAAGGTAATCTATCCACTTCCCTCAAATTTTTCATGTAATTTATGTACAAAAGGTTCATTATAAGTAAAGTTATATGCATGTTTCTAACTTTTTACATATTTTTTTAATTTTCTAATTTTTTTGAACGTGTAAAATCATTCTGGTATGATACAATACAAGTCAGGCACTAGTATTTTTCTCCCAAGTTTTTTTTATAGGTTTTCCTACCCAATAGCATTTTATAGATTTTGCAACCTATATATAACATGTTAAAGGCCGATGATTCCAGTGAGTGTTAGTTTTGGTTAAGTTACTAACTGTATGGTTCTTTCAGCTGATAAAACAGATGTGCAAATTACATAAGCTGTAGCACAAAAACGAAATTCTAATTTTCCTTTCTAATAATCTGTTACAAAATACCCACTAACCCTTGAATTAAAAGTTAAAGTGAGAAAACAGGATTTATAATCTGTGTCTTCACTATTTGGTAGGAATCTGTAGCATTTACTGCCATCTTCCTCTCCCAAATTTTGAACTGAAAGTGTGTGAAATAATACGTGTAATATTGCTCTCTGCCTAGATATTCTTTTAAACTCTCCAATATTTCTTTTTTATGCTTTGGATGATCTTTGATTTAGAAAGCACTGATACGATCTATAATTTATAATCAAGTCTCCATAAATATTATTTGTTTAATCTGTATTTTCTTGAATTCTAAAATGTTCCTTTGTATTATGCATTATGAAATTTCTAAAATTGATATGCTCTCCTCTTAACTGATGCTAGGAGAAACTTATCCTTAGTCAGGTAGGGGGATAAGTTGTTTCATGCTTATAATCATGTGTCCAATGTGCAAATTAAGCCAAATTCTCAAATAAGTAAAATACCAATGAAGTCCTGATATTCTTTTGACAATCTCCAACAAGGTACTATCAGGTGTTAAAGAGGTCATGAAAATGACTCAGGTTTTGGAAAATATTTCCCATGATGCTACAAGAAACTGCTAATGGTTGTTAAGTACATAATACTCTTAACAACAGCAACAACAACAAAGAAACACTTGATTAAGAAATTGAGGGCCAGGCGCGGTGGCTCACACTTGTAATCCCAGCACTTTAGAAGGCTGAGGATGTGCAGATCGCTGGAGTTCAGGAGTCTGAGGTCAGCCTGACCGACATGGCGAAATCCCATCTCTACTAAAAATATGAAAAATCAGCCAGGTGTGGTAGTGCATGTCTGTAGTCCCAGCTGCTTGGGGTGGGGAGGCTGAGGCAGGAGAATTGCTTGAACCTGGGAGGCAGAGGTTGCAATGAACTGAGATTGTGCCACTGTACTCTAGCCTGGGCAACAGACTGTCAAGTGGCTTTAAAAAAAAAAGTATGTATACTTAATGTGGTATTTTCTTCTTTCCTGGAATAACTGACATGGAATCTACGGTGAACTATAAAATTATTGGTATCTTAAAAAGGAAATATACTTAATTACTTTCCTTATATGAAATTTGAGTTCTGATATCAACACTTTGTGAAAAGTGGCATTAGGAAATTTTACTTCCAATTGAAATAACTCTTTGCTTTATCAATGCATCTTAGACCATGGGCTAGTTTCCCTAATATGGAAGAGCTCATAAAAATTAGTTTTTTTTTTTAAAAAAAAAAGCTCACAACTTAGTAGAAAATCATCCAAGAATATGGACAGACAGTTCATAAACAGAATAAACATTTAAACACGAAAAGATGCTCAGGCCACATACAATGAGATATTAAAGCTACATCGAGATGCCATTTTCTAATTGCTGAGACTTTTTAACAGTATAAAACCATGATGCTGGCAAAGATTTTGGGAAACAGGCATTCTTGTATAGTTCAGTTAGGACACTGAATTTGTCTACATCTAAAAGAGGCAGTATTAATCTATATTACCAATACACATATAGCTTGTTATTTAAGCCTTAATTTCACTCTTAGGACTTTCCTAGGTTATTCATTGCAGGGTATTTGTAGTAGCTAAAGGTTGGTGACTATCTAGGTAAGTTACACAGATACAGGACAAACGTCCAAAAAGTTACAGGGTTCACTTGTGTCAGTAGGAAAAAAGAAAAAGAAATGTAAATGCAAATATTTGCTGACTATATAGACTATTTCCAGAAAGATAAGCAAGAAATTGTAAATATTAGTTTTTTTCTTTGGTTTTGTTTTCAGAGATGGCATTTCGCTCTTGGCACCCAGGCTGGAGTACCATGGCATGATCTAGGCTCACTGCAACCTCTGCCTCCTGGGTTTAAGCAATTCTCTGCCTCAGCCTCTCGAGTAGCTGGGATTACAGGCATGTACCACCACGCCTGGCTAATTTTTGTATTTTTAGTAGAGAAAGGGTTTCACCATGTTGGCTGGTCTCCAACTTCCGACCTCAGGTGATCCACCCACCTCAGCCTCCCAAAGTACTGGGATTACAGGCATGAGCCACTGCGCCTGGCAAAATATTAGGTATTTTTTCAGTGGCAGAAGGATAGGGAGACTTTTCATTAAATATTGTTATTACTGGTGGTATTTTAGAGACATGGTCTTGCTACACTGCCAAGGCTGGAGTGCACTGGTTACTCACAAGCACCATCGACCACAATACAGCCTCCAACTCCTGGCCTCAAGCCAACCTCCGACATCCGCCTCCGAAGTAGCTGAAACTATAGGCATGCACTATCACGGCCAGAAGAAAGTTGAAATTGAGGTAAGAAAGCTACCCTCATCTCAAACGCCCAAGTTAATGGTATTTTTAAAATGCAGAATTAGGGAAAAAGAAACTATAATTAGGATAAATTAGGGCTGGGCGTGGTGGCTCATGCCTGTTTTCCCAGCACTTTGGGAGGCCCAGGCGGGTGGATCACCTGAGGTCCGGAGTTTGAGACCAGCCTGACCAACATGCAGAAACTCCGTCTCTACTAAAAATACAAAATATTAGCTGGGCCTGGTGGCTCATGCCTGTAATCCCAGCTGCTCAGGAGGCCGAGGCAGGAGAATCACTTGAATCCGGAAGGTGGAGGTTACAGCGAGCCGAGATTGCTCCATTGCACTCCGGCCTGGGCGACAAGAGCAAAACTCCGTAAAAACAAAACAAAACAAAACAACAACAAAAAACAAACCAGAAGGGTGTCAGTATAAAGGAAAGGTTAAACAAGGGGGAAACAGACACCAAAAGAAAAAGCAGATTACTTTCAAACACGATTGCACTCACCTGAAGAACACAGTAGTTTCCATTTTTCTTTTTGGAAAGTATTGTCAAGGCTTCTTCTTCATATCCTGGGGCAATTATACCATCAGAGACCTGCAAAACATATTAATTTTAATTTCTATTTTTAAAAATCAGAGAACACCTCTAAAAGAAATCTAGTGGCAATTAGCGGTCTTAAATAATGTGGCAGGATATTCTGGTTTCTGCCTCCAACAGACAATGCTAACACTATACTTGAAAAAGGGAATTCTGGCTGGGCACGGTGGCTCATGCCTGTAATCCCAGCACTTTGCGGGGCTGAGGTGGGCAGGCCACAAGGTTAGGAGTTCGAGACTAGCCTCCTGACCAACATGGTAAAACCCCATCTCTAAACAAAAAATTAATAAATAAATAAAAGAGAATCCCACGTTAGAACACAGCTTTCAATATAGCAGATCCTAACTTTCTGTACTTTCAAAGTTTTTGTTTGTTTCAGTTTAAACTAAGAAAATATGGGGGATTTGCTCTAACACATGTACTTCAGGAAGAACTATTTCTCAGTGTGTATTTTCTTCAGGGAGTGTTTTGAATGATCAAGAGCACATTCTAGTCCTGGCCGTGCTAGTACAGAGTTAAATGACCTCTTCCAGCAAGGCATTTTCCTTAACAGCAAGATCAGATTAAATCAAGAGATGTAACATGATGAAAGATACAAATGCCACAACTACCTGTAACCTAGGGATGGCAGTGGGCGTGGAAAGAGTCCTAAAGCAACAAAATAGCGCCAAGCCATATGCCCCTTCAGCCTTCACCTCTGCCTATTTTTTTCCCCTTTGGTGCTATTTAATCTTTTTTTCTTTTCTTCCTGTCTTCCCACTACCAAGGGTACCCCCACCTGTCTGGAATGCTTGTTCGGTAGTCAACTGATGGGGTAAGTTTATTAATGTAGTTTCTATTTGTTTCCCATGACACAGTAAGAGTCATTCTTCTATCACCACCTAAGATGACCACTTCTGCTCTTCAGAAACAATAACTTTGGCATGAAGACAAGAATTCAAAATAAATATATAAGTAAAAACCATTACCATAACAGCCAAATGTCCATCTGAAATATTAATTCACTACATTTCATAATTAACAATTTAAGTTTCATGTTCTACTTAAAATATGAATATTACATGATAAACTTAGCTAATTTAAAGGTATTATAAATATAAATATTATAGGTTATGGTTTCAATGAACATTATGAACAAATAAAGTTTTATTCAATTATACACTAAGACACATGAATGTCCACTAACTTCTCTGGAAATAATTTTTGCAGTTGGTACGTCACAAATGTCAGACAATGCCACAAAATCACCAAATGACGACATCCTATCGGCCCCTGTAAATAAAAATTAAAATGAGGTATTTATCGCAAAGTATCCTGATACAGAAAAAGTAATAAAATTCTCCACTGTCATATAAAATTCACTTCTCTAAAGCTAACAGATAAGATTTTAACAGATCAATAAGTCATTTAATGGAAGTAAACAGTAAGAAAGTATTTGTTAATTTTACCCTCTAGAGAGACACTCAGAAAACTTTTTCTGTGAAGGATCAAATAATATACATACTATATTCACAAAAAAGGGTGGCAGGCTTGACTCAGCTGAAGGGCCACCTTTTGCTGTAGATGGTAAACTATGATATTAGTTTCTCAAGAACTTCCACAAATATTACGGTAATATTCACAAGTGATTAAATTCAACAAGTAAATGTCTCTGATAAAACATGACTCTAACTAAATTTAGTAAAGTTAGAATAGCCATACATCATGCCTGTAATCCCAGCACTTTGGGAGGCTGAGGCAGGTGGATCCCTTGAGGTCAGGAACTTGAGACCAGCCTGGCCAACGTGGCAAAACCACATCTCTACTAAAAATACAAAACAATTAGCTGGGTGTGGTAGCACACGCCTGTAATCCCAGCTATTTGAAATGCTGAAGCAGGAGAATCGCTTGAATTCAGGAGGCAGAGTTTGCAGTGAGCCAAGACTGTGCCACTGTACTCCAGCCTGAGCAACAGAGCGAGACTCTGTCTCAACAACAGCAACAACAAAAAAGGGATAGCTATACAATTTCAATTTTGGTCACATATTAAATAATCACCAACACATTCAATAGCCTACATCAGCAAAATTACATTCACCAAATTCCAATTGTGTTTCCATTTATTACATTAAAATACTAACATGTACTTTTTTTTCTGAGATGGAGTCTCACTCTGTTGCCCAGGCTGGAGTGCTGTGGCATAATCTCAGCTCACTGCAACCTGCACCTCCTGAGTTCAAGTGATTTTCCTGCCTCAGCCTCCCAAGTAGCTGGGACTACAGCTGCACCACCACGTCCAGCTAATTTTTATATTTTTTGTGGAGACAGGGTTTCACCATGTTGGCCAGGATGGTCTTGATCTCTTGACCTCATGATCCACCCACCTCGGCCTCCCAAAGTGCTGGGATTACAGGAGTGAGCCACTGCGCCTGGCCTAACATAAACTTTTACAAACAAATGTATTTTGAGGAACTCATATAATCATTCTCAAATATTAATAAAACACATTAAATTGGAAACTCTATAATAAAACAAAGGTTCTTTTATTCAAACTATATTATATAGAATAACTATACATTTATACAGAGATATAAGTCCTTAATTTCATCTATATATTATATAGAATATCTATATAATTTTTCTCTATTCTAACCTTTTTATTCTATTTGGATAAAATATTGCTTTTTGTTTCTCCCCCAGAATCGAAAAGCCCTATTAGTCTGACCTCTTGCTCTTGCGTATGCCGTTGAAATGGGTGTAAGGGTTTTATAGAGATCAAAGACCATGCAGACTCTGGCCTCATCTTCACTGAGTGGAATTCCAACAGCGGCACCTGGTTAGAAAACAGTAAAATAATACACCAAAAAAGCTGAAGTTACTACCTGTTAACTCCTAAATCAAGACATTTTTCTTATCATCCAGTCTATACAGCATATTTTCTAGCGCCTGTGCTAAATTAAACAGAAATCTACTTAGCCAGATAATTAAACGCTAAAAATACAGTCGTGGGAGCAGCGTGACGGAAGTCTCCTCTCTGGGCTCCAAAACCGGAGTCACTGAAGCTTGACAGCACCCAGCGTGCACGGGAAGCTGGTTTACTTCATTACGGACTCACTCTTTCTCCTGTTCTGCTTGGTATCACTTTGATATCACACATCATTTATTTCTTCCCCACTCACATCACTTTAACATCCAATAAACATCTGAGAACAAATCATGTGCTGGACTGTCAACAGATGTTATGTACAGACAACTTAATTGCTGAATTAATGATTTAAACACAGAGGCAAAAAAAAGTGTCTCATACAATGACTATAAGAAGTTTCAGATAAGTTGGGTGCGGTGGCTCACACCTGTAATCCCAGCACTTTGGGAGGCTGAGGTGGGTGGATCACTGGAGGTCAGGAATTCGAGACCAGCCTGACCAACATGGTGAAACCTCATCTTAAAAAAAAAAAAGTTTCAGATGAAGAGTCAGAAGAACAAATTCTTCTTTATGTTTACTCAGTTACATTTTCAAACATGTGGGAAAGATTTTTTTTAATCTATTGCATTAGGACATTTTACTTTTATTTTATAAACTTTTATGTTTCCATCCCGCAAAAAAATTCCTGCCCCATTTTCCTAGCTAACAATATTATACAATTCTATGTATCTATGTGTGTGTGTGTGTGTGTGTGTGTATGTGAGTGATCAGATTTTATATTACATTGATACTGTTAACAAATGACTTTCAGACTTCATAGAATGTCTATATTCACATTAGAATTTGTTAATATTCAAAAAACTTTAAGAAGAAATGCCTTTCAAACAATTCCGTGGTGTTCTAGGGTGCAGAGCTTTACCTGCTGGGCTGACATGTTTGAAAGAGGCAGCGGCTGGAATACCTAACGCCTCTTTGAGTTCCTTCACCAGCTGCCAGGCGTTCAAAGCATCACACAGGTTTATAAATCCAGGGGCTCCATTTAGAACTGAAAGTAAAAATACACACTCACATTACTAAACAGGATCAGTAAGGTCAGATGTATGCACACGTCTCACAAATTAACATGACTACGCAAATGTTTTAAGTATAATTAAGGGGCAAACAGATACACACCAACACAAAATCTTGATGATAAAGAACAAAGCAACTGAGCCTGAGCCCATCTTAAAAAAAAAATGTATGTGCACACAAACACACACACACACACGCGTACACACACACACACACACACACACACACACACACACGGGTGTGTGCGCACTCGCGAGCGCCACAACTAGAGGACCAGATCCAGCCAGTCTAGAAATAAATCCACAATAGAGATTTAGGGATGAGAGATACTATGACAAGACTTGTTATCAGTCAGGGATTCGTATAAATACAAAACTAAGATTAAACAATTAAGGGAATTACAGAGGCAGTACAAAATTTAAGTTATAAACCTTATCGATTTAAGAAATTATATTACAAGCTAAAGCAATGGCTGTGGGTGGGAGAAGAGGAGAGGAAATAATGTGGTTTTTTTTTCTTCTTTTATGGTAAACTCAGCAGACTCTGCCTAAAGCAGAATTGTAGTTAAATGACTGCAACTTCAGAGTTTTCCATTACCTAATTTCTTAACATAGGCGGAATTTTTTTAGGAGCTAATATCTCTTGTGAATAAACATAAGAAGTTCAGCACACAGAAAGAAATGGTGGGCCAGCACTAATTAAAAACAAAAATGTATAATTTTATGTCCTTCATGGCTTAAGATAGTTTTTTGGGGGTTTTCTTGGTGGTTGTTTTTTTTGAGATGGAGTCTTGCTCTGTCTCCCAGGCTGGACTGCAGTGGTGTGATCTCGCTCACTGCAACCTCCACTTCCTGGTTTCAAGCAATTCTCCTGCCTCAGCCTCCCGAGTAGCTGGGACTATAGGCGAGTGCCAACACGCCCCGCTAATTTTTGTATTTTTAATAGAGATGGGGTTTTGCCATGTTGGCCAGGCTAGTCTGGAACTTCCGACCTCAGGTGATCCGCCCTCCTCAGCCTCCCAAAATGCTAGGATTATAGGTGTGAGCCACTGTCCCAGCCGGTTAAGACAGTTTTCAAAGATTTTGCCAAATATTTACTGAATGCCTACTATGCTGTTAAGCACTGTTCTAGGTATTCTGGATACATCAATTAAAAAAAAAAAAAACTGTCCCTAGTACTCCCTTAAAAAAAAAGGCACCGTCCTTATGGAGCTTACTGGGGCAGCAAATTAAAAAATAGGCAATAAATAGTATAAAAGAAAATATTTGGTATTTATCAAAATGAGTTGAAAACTTGAACACAAATGATTACAATTTTGTTCATAAACTACCATAAATTGTCCTTGAGGTTTTGATGTCCCTTGTCAATGGATAAACTTTGGGTACATCCATACACAATGAAATATTACTCCCCACTAAGAAATAAGCTACCGGCCAGGCACAGTGGCTCACGCCTAAAATCCCAGCACTTTGGGAAGCTAAGGCGGGCGGATTGCCTATGGTCAGGAGTTCAAGATCAGCCTGACCAACATGGTGAAACCCCGTCTTTACTAAAAATACAAAAATTAGCCAGGCATGGTGGGTGCCTATAATCCCAGCTACTTGGGAGGCTGAGACAAGAGAATCGCTCGAACCCGGGAGGTGAGAGTGCAGAGCGCAGTGAGCCAAGACCATACCACTGCACTCCAGCCTCAGCAACGAGAGCGAAATTCCATCTAAAAAAAAAAGGAAAGAAAAAAGCTACCAAGCCACAAAAAGACACGGAAGAAACTTAATGCATGTTGTTTTGTGAAAGTGTCCAAAAGGGCTCCATACTGTATGATCCCAACTATCTGACATTCTGGAAATGGGTACAGAGTCAAAAGAAAAGAGAAAAAGATGATGGTGGATGCCAAGGGCTGGGGAGAAGGGAAAGGAGAGATGAGGAGGAGGAGCACACAGGAGTTTTAGGGCATTGGAACTCTTCTGCGTGATACTGTAATGGGGAATATATGATACTATGCATTTTTCCCAATACACAGAAGGTACAACACAAAGAATGAATGTTAAACTATGAATCTTAATTAATAACGATGAATCACAATCCGTTCATCAATTGTAACAAATATACCACACTAATGCATGATGGTAATAGGAGGAACTGTGGGGAAGAGGACCTATATGGGAATTCCCTAAAATCACTGTGTATTTTTTCCGTAAACCTGTAACTACCCTAAAAAAATAAAGCCCATTTTAAAAAGAACTTGAAAAAAATAATTCCCCCAACCAAAAATCAAGTCAAATAAAATCACTGTCCTCATGAAATTTATGGGAGGCAGAGAAGAAACAAACTAGGCAATAAATAGTAAACGATAAAAGTAAAATAACCTCTAAGGCATAAAACATGCAAAATAAAACAAAACACTGGGCTGAGCGCGGTGGCTCACACCTGTAATCCCAGCACTTTGGGAGGCCCAGGCGGGCAGATCACGAGGTCAGAAGGTCGAGACTATCCTGGCCAACATGGTGAAACCCCGTCTTTAAAAACAAAAACAAAACAAAACATGGTATGTACAAATTCGCCATCTCCCTTCCACTCCTCATAGATGGTTTAGGCTAAGGTTGGTAAGTGGGAAAAAACTTCTGCTTTCTGAAACATCTCCTAGTTAAGAGTATGTGGCCAGGCACAGTGGCTCATGCCTGGAATCCCAACATTTTGGGAGGCCAAGGCAGGTGGATCACCCAAGGTCGGGAGTTCAAGACCAGCCTGGCCAACACGGTGAAACCCCATCTCTACTAAAAATATATGGGATTACATACATGTAATCCCAACCAGAGGCAGAAGAATAGCTTGAATCCAGGAGGCAGAGGTTGCGGTGAGCCAAGATCGTGCCACTGCACTCCAGCCTCAGCAACAGAGCAAGACTCTACCTCAAAGAAAAAAAAAGAGTGGGTGGGTGTGGTGGCTCACACCTGTAATCCTAGCACTTTGGGAGGCCAAGGTGGGTGGATTGCCTGAGCTCAGGAGTTCGAGACCAGCCTGGGCAACACGGTGAAACCCCATCTCTACTAAATACAAAAAATTAGCCAGGCGTAGCGGCATGTGCCTATAGTTTAGCTACTCGGGAGGCTGAGGCAGGAGAATTGCTAGAACCTGGGAGGCAGAGGTTGCAGTGAGCAGAGATCATGCCACTGCACTCCAGCCTGGGTGACAGAGTGAGACTCCATCCAAAAAAAAAAAAAAAAAAAAAAAAAAGAGTCCCCCAAAAAAAAAAAAAAAAACCAGTATCTGGTTCCCCTTCAAAAACCAAATTTTCAAAGACATTAATAAGCAAAATAGAAAGTGTCACATAAATGTTGAAACTTGCTTAATCTAGTAAATAGCTGAAATAAACAGGAATCTTGTTTCCAAACATAGGCAAACCAATCATTAAAATCTCAGACACATACACACACTCACACAGCCCCATCTTTGTTCTTGCTTCAATTTTGTTTTAGATACAAATACAACTGTACACTTTGTAATAACATCACTGCCAAATACTCAAACCATATGAAAAGGCAAAGTGCCTCTTCTGCTGTGGAAAAAAGCCCATGTTGGGGAGAAACTGTGAGAATCTCGCACAAGAAACGCTTATTTATGTGTCCGGGGCTGCCTCTGCCATGTTTACCACAAACAATACTTTAAACTTCAAAAGAAGGAAACAGACACACAGTCTAACTAAGGAACAATGAAGACTTTTATATAGTCCAGTGAAAATGCTTTGGAAAATGAAAAGCATGGGAACTGAAAGTACATGTGGGTTATTTTTTTTGCTTCAGAATCTTCATGGAGAATATAAACTACAAGCAGGAAATATCGCAGATATAACAGCAGACCAATCTGTTTCAAGTCCTAGAAGTAAAAATTTGTGTAAAATGTCAGGTTTCTAATTATTTATTCAGTAAACATTTAGGGAATGTGCCAAGCAGGCTTCTAAGCAGTGGGAATTCAGCAACGAACAAAAACAGATGCAGCTTCTGCTCTCAGAAGCTAACATCCTGGCAGGGCGCGGTGGCTCATGCCTGTAATCCCAACACTTTGGGAGGTTGAGGCAGTGGATCACCTGAGGTCAGGAGTTCGAGACCAGCTTGGCCAACAAAATGAAGCCCCATCTCTACTAAAAGTACAAAATTAGCCAGGTGTGATGGCAGGCACCTGTATTCCCAGCTACTTGGGGGACTGAGGCAGGAGAATCACTTGAACCCGGAAGGTAGAGGTTGCAGTGAGCTGAGATCACGCCATTGCACTGCAGCCTGGACAAGA